TAAATAAATATGTTGAACACTAACAGTGAAAAAGTTAATAATTAAAAAATAGTTGCTCGATTTTTTTTGAGGAGCCACAATTGATAAGGTACTGAACCAAAAACAACTTGTTAATATTTCCCATTTTAGGAGCAAGTATTAATTAATTTAATCTTTAAAATTTTTTTTACTTTGTCAAAGATCAGTTGGCTGAAAATATGTGGGCTGTTTTCTGGGTTCTCAGTTCTGTTCCATTGGTCGGAGTGTCTGTTTTTATGCTAGTACCATGCTGTTTTGGTTACTACAGCTTTGTAGTATAGTTTGAAGTCAGGGAGTGTTATGCCTCTACCTTTTATTTATTTATTTTTTGTGCTCAGAGTTGCTTTGGCTATTTGGGGTCTTTTGTTGTTCCATGTGAGTGTTAGAATTGTTTTTTCTGTGAAGAATGTCATTGGTATTTTGATGGAGATTGCATTGAATCTGTGGATTGCTTTGGGTAGTATAGACATTTTTACAATGTTAAACCTTCCAATTCAAGAGCATAGAATATCTTTCCACCATTTTGTGTCTTCTTTAATTTCTTTCAGTATTGGTTTGTAGTTCTCATTGTAGAGATTTTTTTTTACCTCTTTTGTTAAATTGATTACTAGGTTTTTTATTTTATTTTTTTTTGTGATTGTTGTAGATGAGCTTACTTTCTTGATTTCTCTTTCTGTTAGCTCATTATTATAGTAGTAGTTTTGAACTACTAAGTTTGAAGATATAAAATATCAGAGCTAGGAAAGGATGGGAAGGGTAAAAGTATGCCACTGTTATCCCTAAATTCTCACTAATCTTACTATCTGTATTATCTTCTCTGTGAATTAATTTTGACTAATTCTTCTTCAATATATTCTTTTTTTCTCCCATTCTTTTTGTTGGTGGGTTGGAAATAGGGAATCTGTGAATATAAAAATGAAAATAGGCTGAGGAATTTTATTTTGACTTTTGTTAATTATTACTATAAAGATAGAAATTTGGAAGATATTTTTCACAACTTTGAAGGGAAGGGGGAAGAAATTGCCATTAAAAATAAAACATAATTTTGACAAATTTTATTATATCAGTCTGAAAGTGTTGTTTTCTTATTTATTTAGATCCAAATCACAGGGAAGTACCCAAACACATAACAGTAGGTAAGTACATTAGAAGGTGTATTAGTCTGTGTCTGTTGCTTATTACCAAATACCTGAAACTGGGTAATATATAAGAAAAAGAGGTTTATTTTTTACAGTTTTGGAGGCTGGGAAGTCCAAGGTCCAGGAGCACATCTGGTGAGGGCCTCCTTCTACAGCAGCTCAGGGTATCACATGAGGAGAATGTGCTGAGCAAGAGTGCTAAGCTTCTCACTCACTCTCCTTTTAAAGCCATCAAACCATGCTCATTACTCCATGAATGGATCAATCCATTCACAAGGGCACAGTCCTCACAATCTAATCACTGCTTAAGGGCCCCACCTTTCAAATCCTATAATTGGACATTCCACCCTCCTAACACTGTTTCAGTGGGGGTCAAGTTTCCAGTATATGAAATTTTGGGGGATACATTTAACCACAGCAGGAGGTGTTCCTTAAAATAAATACATGTTTGAAATTAAAATGAAATTCTTATCTATAATTCATTTCTAAGTATTGATTGTTAAAGAAATTGATGAATTATGGCACCATTAAATAACCTATTGATCTTTATTAATCTTGCTATTAGTGAGTATTTAAATAATTTAGTATGTTTTTTCTTCAGTTTAGTATATTTCTTTCAAGTCTGTTGGAAACTTGCTTTTGTTGATATAATGGAATTAAAGAGTTGACCCTAATAAGACATAAGATCTGTAAATTAGTTTATACAAGAAACTCATTCTGTACCATTTTGTCCATGAGGCACTGTAGGTACAGTGTTTAAAGACTGAGTTTTCAAGGGCCATAAAAAGTGTTAACATGAAAAACCAAAAATGATTTGCTCCAAGGTATGGAAAAAAATTAATGTGTATTTCAATTTTAAAAAAAAAAAAAAAAAGATATTAACTTAGTTGTTTTATTCATAAAAATTTGACTATATGTGAAAAATGTTAAATTTTCTCATTTGCAAGTACTTCTGATTAAATATCATGGTTCCCCAGAATTCATAGAAAATCGTAAATAAATTATCCAAGGCCAAATAATTTCACAAACAAAATTATAAAAATTCTTTCAAGCATTCTTTTTTCTGCCATATGAATTTTTCGCTTGGCAGTGCCACAACTGTTTGGATGTTTTGCAGTGGCAAGGAATTCGCTATTAGTACTTTGAGCATGTGTGTTTTTGTTCTCTTCCACAGTAACTAGTAATTCCTTCAGAAGGCGATGGACGGTATCATTGGTGGCACTGAGAAGTGAAGATCTCGCCTTTCCTCCCTGGGCACAGCTTAACAAAGCAATAAACCGAGTGTGGACCAGTTTGCATGTCAGCTTGTCTGTTTCTTTCTTTCTCTTACTCTACCTCAGAATTCAGCCCCTGGGGCTGTAGTTCTGCTCCTTCAGAGCCCTTAACTGAAAGTTGTCAGAACCAGCCATGGACAACGGACCACGATCCTCCTCCTGCTCTTTCCCACTGGACACAGCTAGCTGCGTGCAAGTCCAGGAAACCCCCCACCAGCCTCCCTGTGACCCCCACTGGGCTTCTGAGTAGAGGTTGTGTTCCTTCCGGGGCTGTACTTTTCGGTCCAGGCCTCTCACTCTCCTGGAACCTCTCCTGTGCCCCTTTCTGAAGACAGAGGCAGCTTCTGAAGGACCCAGAGAGCATGGGCTTGGGTCTCAGGGGCAAAGATGAACCCTTGGTCAGACTTTAGTATGAGGATTGATAAAATGAATTAGAATAAGTTTCTCTCATTTTTCATTTTCTGAATGAATTTGTGTAAAACTGTTTAATTCTTCAATTAAATGCTTGGTAAAATACACCAGTGAAGCTCTCTGGGACTGGAGACTCTCTGGTGAGAAGAGTTTTAATTTCAGATTCAGTCTGTTTAGCAGACACAGGACCATTCAAATATCCCATTCTTGGATTTTTTTTTTTGTCAGGTATTATATTTTTAAGGAAGTTTACCCATTTCATTTCATGGTCAACCTTTTAGCATAAAGTTGTTCATAACATCCTTTTTAATGTCTACAGGATCTATAGTTCACCCCCTCTTTCTTTCCTGATAAAGTGATACTTTTTTTCCTCTCTAATCAGTCTTGCTAGAGTTTATCCATTTAATTAATTTACTAATCTCTCCAGACCACCTCTTGGCTTTGTTGTTTTTCTCTATTGTATCCTGTTTTCTATTTTCTAGTTCATTGATTTCAACGTTATTAATTCTTTCTGGGTTTTTCTTTTTCTTTTTTTTTTTGTGTGTGGCCTGTACAGGGATCAACCCTGGAACATGGTGTTATCAGCACTGTGCTCTAACCAACTGAGCTAACCGACTGGCCTTCCCAGCTTCTTAAACTAAAGTTTAGGTTAATTCTAAACCTTCTTTTGTAATGCATTTAAAACATATAAATTTGCTCTCTGTAACTCTTTAGCTGCATTCCACATAAATTAAAATGCTGTATTCTTATTATTGTTCAAGTAAAAATATTTTATAATTTTTATTTTGATTTCTACTCTGAATTATAGTTTACTTCAAAGCTAGTTTAATTTCCAAATTTTGGGATATTTTCAGCTTATTCTTTTCTATTGATTTCTCAGTCATAGTCAGGGAAAATAATCATATGATTTCAATA